GTGCTCGGGTTTGGGATTTTTTGGATGCAGCCCCAGGGTGAGGAGGGCGGGGGCTGCAGCTCCGGGGTTTTCTCCAGCTCTGAGCATCCAAAGCGCTGCCCCCGCCTGTCCTGCAGCTCCCCCTGACCTTCCCCTCCCACCCTCCAGCCCCTTTTCCTCTGAACCCCGAAGCTCTCAGGGATATTCCTCCATCCTGCACCATTTCTCTCATGGAAAACAAACCCACTTCCCTCTTACCTTGTGTTTCCTGGGATCCCAGAGCCACGTGCTGTCACCATTTAACCACTGGCCACCATTGGGGCATCCTTAGCAAACATCGAGTTTTAAAGGAGGTTTTCAGTGATTTTTGGTTTAGTTTCGGTGTAATTGTAGCATCACATCAGAACAAAGACCTCTTCCACAAAGTTTGGATAAAAAAAGCAAAGTTCTGCTGTGTTGGAGGGAGGTGTCAGGCTGTGCTGCCATTTCAGGTGGACACTGGGCACGGGGAGTGCTCTGAAAGCTGCAAAAGCTTCACTAAAATTTGGTTTAGGCAGCTTTAGATCAGTGTAGCTCTGAGCTGTAGGGAATTATGGAGACAGGAGTAATGGATGGATGGAAATGACATAAACAGGAGCCTTCAGGCAGGACAAGGGGGATTGTGAGGCACAAACAGGTGAGATGAGGTGGGACCCAGCAAACCTCCAGCCACATCATGAGGCTGAGGAGCTCTTTGCCAAAAAACATCATGGGAGCCAAATGTAAGACCTGAAATAATATTTAGAGTTGAAATCATTTTTAGAGTTACGATAATTCAGTGAAATAAAAGATTTATTTGGTGCTTTCTGGTGTCACTGTTGGGTGCTGCTTCTGAAATTGTGCCATCAGAGGTGCAGGAAGTGAAGGTACAAGAGCTGATCCCGTCAGGACACAATAGAAACAAAACACACACCAAGAAACAAGAATAAGAATGAGAACGAAGTTGCAGCATTTTTCTTACACATCCACCAAAGCCTTTTAAGCTGAGTTGTCTCCAAATGAGCTCTTCAAGACCATTTGCCTCATACCAGAGAGGGAACATTAAATGACAAACAAGTCGAGTTTTTTGAGGGTGTTTTGTCAATATTATGAATTCTTCTTGCTTTAGTTAATTCAATCCCAGGCTCTGCAGTGAGACCTGGGACAGGTTTCTCTATGGGATCAATCACCACAGCCACAGATTCCAGGTCAGAAAGGCTTCTGGCTAACTAAAAGTGGTTTTTCCAGTTTTGAGAGCAGGCAAAATAATCTTCCCTGAGCCTGTCAGGTGCTCAGTTTACAGCTTGTTATCCTCAGAAAATGGTGATGTGGGAAGAAGAGAGAAAACCCAAACTCAGGGTGCTCTCTGTAGCTCCAAGGATGAGGTTGAAGATTATTTCCTCCTGTTTGTGGTACAGAATGAAGAGGAAAGTGAGACAGGTTTACCTTTTTTTTAACCAACTGTCTCATTTGGGTACTGCCAGGGTTGTCACGACAAGGGTTTTTGGTAAAGGAGTGGTTTTGTACAATTTGTGAAGGAAAGAGACATAGGGTTAGAGGGCTTTTTGTTTGTTTGTTTGTTTGTTTGCTGGCTTCCAAAAAATAAAAGAAAATGGCTTTAAAACCAGGAATAAAAAACCCAAGTTACATGAAGAGCCTGGCTCTGCCTTCCTAAAACCTCCCACCAAGGAACTGAAGACAGCAAAAAATCCCCTCCTTTTCTCCCCTTTGAAGACTGAACAAACCCCAGCTCTTTTTGCATCTCTCTCCATCCTCCATCCCCCCAGCCTTTCTCAGAGTTGCTGGAGGATGTCAGTGCAGTGTCCTGGGGAGCTCAGCACCTCTGGTTTCATTCTGTGCCTTGGTGCAACTTCTCCAGCATCATCCATTAGCAAATAAACAGATAAAAATGAACAGGGTATATATATTTTTTTCATTCTGCTTTGCCATTACTGATTAACAGAGTTGGCATAAAATCTAGAAAATATCAGATAATCCCTAAATCTAAGCCCAGGATTTTCTGTCTGTTGGTTTGGACACTGGATTTCCATGGGAGATTTCACGTTTACCCTTGGCCTCAGCCACAAGGACCAGGGGAAAACAACCATTTCAGGGCAAATTTTATTTTAAAAAATTTATTAATGAAGAATATTTCAGATCCAGCATTATGGCCACGTTTGTTACTCCTTCCTTGTTGTGAAAATAGAATTGTGTAACGTTCCTGAACAGGGCATTAAAAAAATCAAAGAAAATGCTTCCTGCACATCAAGAGCCCGCGTTCCTATGGAGATGCTGGTGATGCAGGAGCTGGGCTTGGCAAGATAAGGCAATCAACAGTTTGAGATCCTGAGCTCATGGAACACGGGTCAGGCACGCCTTAGGAGTGTGAGAAATAGATTTAGAAATAGGAGAGATGTCTGGGGAAGCTGTGCTGGGCAGATCCCAGCACGAGGAGCTCGGCAGGACTGTGTAGATCTGCAGCCAGGTGTGCTGGGCCCTCACTGCCTTGTCTTCCCACAGATGTGTCTCCCGTGGTGGCAGGACTCATTGGAGCCACTGTCCTGGTGGTTTCTGTCTCAGTCACAGTCTTTGTGTGGACATGCTGTCACCAGCAGGCAGAAAAGAAGCACAAAACCCCCCCGTACAAATTCATTCACATGCTGAAAGGCATCAGCATCTACCCGGAGACCTTGAGCAACAAGAAGAAAATCAACCGGATCCGGAGAGACAAGAACGGCACGGCCAGGGAGGGGGGCAGGGGCAACCTCCTGGTGGATGCAGCTGAATCTGGGCTGGTGGGCCCTGACAAGGCTCTGGATGGACCCCCCCACGTCGACCAGCTCCCCATCAAAGTAGATTATGGAGATGAACTCAGCCCAGATCAAAGCCTCACTCCAGGAGGGAGTAAAACCTCCTCCCCCTCCTCCCCGGGTGATGATGTCATGCTGGGAGACCTGACTTTCTCAGTGGACTACAACTTCCCCAAAAAGGCACTGGTGGTCACCATCCAGGAGGCCCACGGGCTGCCCGTGATGGATGAGCACACCCAGAGCTCTGACCCCTACATCAAGATGACAATTCTGCCCGACAAGAGGCACCGTGTCAAGACCCGAGTGCTCCGCAAGACCCTGGAGCCGGTGTTTGACGAGACCTTCACCTTCTATGGCATCCCCTACAGCCAGCTGCAGGACCTGGTGCTGCACTTCCTGGTGCTCAGCTTCGACCGCTTCTCCCGGGATGATGTCATCGGCGAGGTGATGGTGCCCCTCGCAGGGGTGGATCCCAGCACTGGCAAGGTGCAGCTCACCAGGGAGATCCTCAAAAGGAACATCCAGGTAAGCTGGCACTGTCGAGGCACTCCACGCTTCAGAAGGCTAAGACCTGTTTGTTACAGCAGCACGCTGTCTTTTACACCCTCTGCACCATTTACACTTTCANGGCACTGTCGAGGCACTCCACGCTTCAGAAGGCTAAGACCTGTTTGTTACAGCAGCACGCTGTCTTTTACACCCTCTGCACCATTTACACTTTCACATTGGTCACAATAAATCAGTATTCTGTCTTTTACACCCTCTGCACCATTTACACTTTCATATTGGTCACAATAAATCAGTATTCTGTCTTTTATACCCTCTACACCATTTATACTTTCATGTTGGTCACAATAAGTCAGTATTCTGTCTTTTACACCCTCTACACCATTTACACTTTCATATTGGTCACAGTAAGTCAGTATTCTCTCTTTTATACCCTTTAGACAGTTTACACTTCCATATTGATCACAATAAGTCAGTATTCTCTCTTTTATACCCTCCACATAGTTTACACTTTCATATTGGTCACAATAAGTCAACACGTTGTCTTTTATACCCTCTACATAGTTCACATTTCCATATTGGTCACAATAAATCAGTATTCTGTCTTTTACACCCTCTACACCATTTACACTTTCATCACTGGTCACAATAAGTCAACATAAAGTTCATTGGTGTAAAACCATCTACGCCTCTTATTTCCACAAAACTTTTCTAAAAATACTTTTCCCAGCTCAGGTTTTCTTTCCACTTATCTTCTCCTCCTTCTCTTCTTGGTCTCCAGGCCAGTGGCCTTGATAGAATACTTTACTTTTCAGCAATAACCCTTTATTCATGAACCCTCTGTGGCCCACAGAGCAGCTGGGAGTCCTGCCTTCCATCCAGGGTGACTCAAACCCTGTGTTTGAGTTTTCATCCAGGATCTTCCATGGTTTAACCAGCAGGAATAATGCAGATCCTCAGCCATGCTGCCTGGTTTTCCCCAGATGTGTATTTTTGGTGTGCTTTTAGCTGGGCACTTCTCTGCTGTGTGGTGATGGCAATTGGATAAGGTTTTGTCACTCCTGAGGCACAGGAATGATGAATGTTATGATGGATGGTGGCAAGAAAAAAGGCAAATTCCCATCTCCAAATAATGTGATAACAGGACATTCATCTGCAAACCTCAGTGAGAGAGGGAGATTTCTCTGATCTGACCACTTTAGACCCCTCTACTTGGAATTATTGACAGCTGAATTGTGGCTGTAAAATGTATCAGCAGAGCCTGAGTGGATTCCCCTTGTCCTGGAGCAGAAATCAGGAATCCCACCCCAGATGGGTTGGATTGGGAACAAAATGCAGACATCTAAAATTTGGGTGAAATGAATCCCAGTGCAATGAATCCCACTCTTAGTGCCTGGTGCTGTAAACAGAAGAATGCAGATGTTTGTGTGCTCAAGAGGAGGAGGAGGCAGAGGAGGAGGAAGTTCAGATTTTAATCTTTTTGCTCAGTTGGTTTCTGCTGCCCATCTCAAAAGCAAAAGGCATTTGGGCTCCCTTATTGCTGCAACAGCTTGGAAATCATTGCTGGGCTCTATCAAATCCTTCCTTATGTCCTAGAATGGCATCATTTAACTTGAAATGTTCCTAATTTATCAGATGTTTTGGTTTTTTGGTAGGTTTTTTTTTTGTGTGTGTGTATGTGGTTTTTTTGTTTGGTTTTGGGTTTTTTGTTTTGTTTTTTCTCAGTATTATTCTATGTCATGACCTCAACAAAATAAGAGTTCTGGCAATTACTTTGCTGTTCTTCAGTTCTAGGAATGCTTTACATTATGATAAAACAAGTAGCTGGTTCAGGGTCTTTAATATTTTTTTTTTCAGTGCATTGATTGGATCTCTTAGAAGTGATAGATTAAAAATAGATAATAGATTAAAATAAAATTATTTTCAAATATTAAAATATATATTAAAATTAAATATTTAAATATAAATAATTTTAATCAAGGATGCAAATTATTTAATATTTGTAAATAATCAAAAATGGATTTACCTTGGTGCCAGATGTGCATGCTTGAAAAATCTGCTTCATTCCACGGTGCCAAAGCAGCCATCACTGGATAAAGTGTGTCAGGAGCTTTCAAAATCTGGGACAGAGAATTGCATTTAACACCCAGCAATGACCCAGTGACCCAAGCCAGGCCTACATCCCATCCTAGTGAACATCCCCAATAATTTCTAACTGACAATAGCAGACTTAAAATGACTTTGAAGCAGAATCCCAGAATGATTTGGGTTGGAAAGGAGCTTAAAGATCATCTCATTCCAACCCCATGCCATGGGCAGGGACACCTTCAGACCAGAAAACCCCAAAAGTCTTCAAAACATCCTCACCCACTCAAAAAAAAATCTCTCCTTGGCTCTTATATTCTTCTGTATCCAAGGAACCAAAGTTGCAAACATTTCCCTTCCAGGAATTTGCTCATGTATTTGTTCTCCTGCTGAAATTTTGCATGAGCAGTAAATTCCCAGCAGCTGGATTTCCATGGTCCCTTCCAACCCAGGATAATTATCATTCTGTGATTCCCTGCGTTTGAAAAACTCCTGTTCAACACACAGAAACCACTCAAATGAAAAGGAACCACGCAAAGAAAAGGAACATTTTCCAGGCTGAAGTTCACACTCTGCTTTTTTCCTGCTAAGCTGAGCAGAGGAGCATGGACAGAACTTCCCCTCAGAGCACAGAGTGGGGCATTGCCTGTTCTGAAAGGAGAAAAAATCCCTTCCTTGGGGCTTCAGGAGCCTTTGCTCTGCCAGATCCCAGTCCCTGATGGGGCAGGGGGAGGTTTGGGAGAATCTGGGAGAGAGCCCCAAGTTTTGGCAGCTCTGTGAGTGACAGCACAGAGTTTACCTTTGTTCACCTTGACAGCAAATAAACTCCATCTCAATTAGTGCCAGCCCAGTGGAAGTTAACACACACCATCTGGAAACCAAAACTAATTATCTTAATCTTATGTTAATGCCATGTTACTCTTTGAAAGGATGCACAGCAGGTTTAACTGAGATCCAAGATAAAACCTGCTCTGGTTTTATCTTCTTTCAATCTTTTTATCTCCTTTTAATCTTCATGCTGGAGCTTTGCAGGTGAACTCATGGTGAGATTGTCAGGACACTCCTGAAGAGCCTGAGGGGCTCAGCTACTGAAGCTCCACCAAAAATCAGTGGAATTTGAGCTCCTAAACCCCTCAGAGCCCTTTAGTAACAGATCTCCAAAGGCAGTCTCTCACAAGGTCCCACCAGGTTTCCCCTCCCAGAATTGCAGAGTTCCAGGCTCTGGAGATGTTCTCAGATGTGGGGTGAGCACGGGGTGCTTTCCCTTCTGCAGCTGGGCCACCAAAAACGACCTGTGGCTCATTTTCTCACTCTTTAGGCATTTAGCACAAGGAAAGGAAATTCTGGGCACCTCCAGAAATTGCTCCTGTGTCTAAGACCACCTTGTCCTAACGAGTTCTGTGTGTTCCACCCTGGCAGAAATGCATCAGCAGAGGGGAGCTGCAGGTGTCCCTGTCCTACCAGCCCGTGGCACAGAGGATGACTGTGGTGGTGCTGAAAGCCAGGCATTTGCCAAAGATGGACATCACTGGCCTCTCAGGTAGAAGCTATTTTCTCCAGCTCTGAGTGGGTGGGACAAAGATAAATCCCCAAAGTTCACTTGCAGGGCTTTTATCTTGTTTTGCCTGGAGATCTTTGTTGTTCACACATTTTTCCTCCCATTTTCCTGAAGGGTGATGGATTGCTCCGAGTGCTCCATCACTCACCTGTGGGGGGTTGTGCAGAGCAGCCCAAATCCTTTCTGCTGCTTCGTGCAGCCAGGGGTTTGTGAAGGCAGCAGCTCTGGATGTTCCATGGCATCCATTGGCTGAGGCCAATGGAGTGAGGAAAACTGGAAAAACTGGCTGGGAGGGGCTGGACACGAGCCCAGGTGTGCCCAGATGTGCACAGGTGGCACAATGGCACCAGGACCAGCCCCAGCGTGGGCACAGGACCAGGGCAGTGCCCCAAATCTTGGGGTCAGTTTTGGGCTCCTCATTTCAAGAAAGACATTGAAGGGCTTGGAGCATGTCCAGAGCTGGGGAAGGGTCTGGAGAATTCCTGGGGGAGCTGGGAAGGGGCTCAGCCTGGAGAAAAGGGGATCAGGGGGGCCCTTGTGGCTCTGACAGGAGGGGACAGCTGGGGGGATTTGGGATCTGGGAACAGGGACAGGAGGAGAGGGAACGGCCTCGGGCTGGGCCAGGGGAGCTCAGGGTGGACAGCGGCAGGAATTTCTCCATGGAAAGGGTGGTCAGGGATTGGAATTGCCCAGGGAGGGTTGGATCCCCATCCCTGGGGGTGGCACTGGGTGCTCTGGGCTGGGGACAGGGTGGGGATGGGGCACTGGGTGCTCTGGGAGGGCTTTTCCCAGCTCAGTCATTCCATGATTCTGAGCTCTGTGGTCCTGAGCAGCTCTGCTTCCATGGCTGTGTCTGCCTCAGGCCCTGCCCCTGGAACAGGATGGGGACAAGTGTGACAAAAGGAGCAGGGGCAAACTCAAGAGTGGAGAGGAGCAATTAGAGACAGTTCTGGCCTGGTGTTTTGGGTGTTTTCATTTTTGTTGTTTTTGCTGGGTTTGTTCTTGTGCTGTTTGAAAAGAGAAGAGGAGCAGCTGTTCTGGCTTTCCTATTTCACAGATTTTTCACTCTCCTGAATCCCCTCAGCAAAGTCCCCTCAGGATTATGGGAAAATGGTTGGAATCAACTTGAGATTCAGTCACAGCCTGACTGAGAACAAACATAGTCCTGGTTTTGGAGCTTTCTCCTGGGCACCTCAGAGGGAATGCAGACAAATGCAGACTAGGCTTAATTATTGGAGGCTCTACATTTTACTCTTTCTTTAAGAAAAAAAAAAAAAAAAGAAAAAGCTGTGCATGTGTAGTCTCCAGCCACAGGATAAAATTTTCAGTGATGAAATCTGCAGAATCTTGTGACTAACACTGTTTATTTATATGATCTTTGTATTATGCATAAGCCCTTTTCAACTGGGTTAAAAAAAAAAAAAAAAAGGTGAAAAAGAGGCAGTGCCAGCTGGGCAAGGGCCTTCCAGCTTCAAAACTTGTGTGGAATGAAAAAAAAAAAAAAAATCCCTCAGTGCCTGGTATCTTGATTGTAATCCTCCACCAGTGTCTGCATAAAGAGCAGCTGCCCAAGGCCTGGGGGAGGCTGGGGGGAGAAGGGAGGCTTTGTTTTAAACTTTATTCTTTCCCAGTACCTTCTGCTGGCAGCATTTCCCATCTGCAAATTATTGAAAGTGCCTCGAGCCTGAGTTGGGCTGTCCTGAACAAGGGGGGGGTGCTCAGTGTGGGGCACAGAGGGATTTGGGGTGACCCCAGTGCTGGAAGGAGCCAACAGGGACAGGGATTGTTTATGAGGGTCTGGACAAGGGGGAATGGCTTCAAACTGCCAGAGGGCAGGGCTGGATGGGATATGGGGATGGAATTGTTCCCTGTGAGGTGGGTGAGGGTGCCTGTCTTGGTTTGAGGGACAGGTGTCTGCTGAGAAAGGCAGGAGCCTCTTTTTAAAATGGACAATGTAAACCCCCTCCCTCCAAACTATTATGGTTTTGAGATTAAGGGTCTTTCAGGCAAAGATATGGGAATGGGAATAACAGTTCTTTACTGGGAAAATTAAAGCAGAAATCCAGTATTGCAGAGAACAAACCCAAAACACTGCCAGAGTCAGAACCCAAGCTGATCCCCCATCAGTCAGGGCTTGGTGCAGTCCCATTCCATGGTGGCTGCAATCCTGCAGTGACAGATGTGGTTCTGCTGGAGCAGGGCTCCTGTACAAGGTGCAGTTTTCCTCCAAAGCTGCAGGGATGATGTGGAAAGGTTTGGGTTTCCTCTGGGATCCAGTGGGAAAAGGCTGCTCTGCTGTTCCAAATCCCAGCTTTGATCTGGGTAGGAAATGCTTGGCTCCTCCCCCTGGGTGGAACATCTCCCAGTGGGATGATGGAATTTGATCAGTTAATTAGTGGGACCCAATGGGATGATGGAATTTGATCAGTTAATTAGTGGGACCCAGTGGGATGATGGAATTTGATCAGTTAATTAGTGGGACCCAATGGGATGATAGAATTTGATCAGTTAATTAGTGGAACCCAATGGGATGGTGGAATTTGATCAGTTAATTAGTGGGACCCAGTGGGATGATGGAATTTTATCAGCCATGCCCTGGGACTCCATGGCCCATGAACAGGAGAGATCTCCTGGAGGGAGGATGGGTTTGGAAAAGATAAAGAACCCTGCCCCAGCTGGGTTAACAGCTGGCCCATGAACAGGAGAGATCTCCCCCAGAGATCAGGATCACTGCCCCAGCTGCTTTAACAGCTGGTGACAGAATCCAGACTTTGGGGCACATCCTGTATTGCAACTGTGGCTGCCCCTGCCTCCCTGGCAGTGTCCAAGGCCAGGCTGGGGCAGTGGAAGGTTTCCCTGCCCATGGGATGAGATTTTTGAGTCCCTCCCAGTCCAAACCAGTGCTTACCAGTGACCCCGAGGCCGCCCTGGGCTGTGTCATTGGCTGCTCCCTCTCCCCCCAGCAGACCCCTACGTCAAGGTGAACGTTTACTACGGGCGCAAACGCATCGCCAAGAAGAAAACTCACGTCAAGAAGTGCACTTTGAACCCCATCTTCAACGAGTCCTTCATCTACGACATCCCCGCGGATCTGCTGCCCGACATCAGCATCGAGTTCCTGGTCATCGATTTCGACCGCACCACCAAGAACGAGGTCGTGGGGCGGCTGATCCTGGGCGCTCACAGCGGCAGCGCCGCCGGCGCCGAGCACTGGCGCCAGGTCTGCGACAGCCCCAGGAAAGCCGTGGCCAAATGGCACAGCCTGAGCGAGTACTGAGCACCGAGGACACACCCCAGCTTTGTTTTAGCTGTAGGACTAAACTACTTTTCGTTGAGAAGCAGCAGCTGATTGGTGATCTCTTAGTGATGTGGTTTTTGCAGGGCACTAAATGAAAAAAAAAAAAAAAAACCGAAAAAAAAAATAATTCTAAGGAGCGTTAAAAAAAAAAAAAAACAAACAAAAAACGATGGGGAATAAATAATTTAAAGAAAAGGAAAAAAAAGGTACCACGAATATATATAACAGTGTAATCACGCTATTGCATGCCTACTACAAACTGAAATTAGTATAACTGCCAATATCAAGTTGCAGGTTTTAATACAATTATCTGTCACTATGGAAGTTGTGTTTGTGCCGAGCTGTCTTTGCTGGTATTCACCAAGATTGGCCTGTCTTCATTAGGCTTCTCCCAAAGTTTCTGAATTCTGCTGTTTAACCTCTAGTTTCTTGTTAGTTTTGCCTGCCCATTGGTTCTTGCAGTTCTGTTCTGTGCTGGTTTGGGAGTCCCCCCTGCGTTTCCATGTAGAGCTGGGTTAGAATTCTGCACTGGCACAAAAGGAAAATACAGGGAAAATGGCACTGGCCTCCAGAGTAGAAACAATTCTGTGTCAGGCACTGAAATCCTTGTTGTTGTGATGTACCTGGGGAGCTGTGAGGTCACAACATCCAAAATGACTCTAAAATCCAAACCCCAACCAACTGATCCCGTTGCTTTTGCCACATGGGGGTCACACAGGCAGGATCTCATCTCCCAGACTGTAGGAATTGGGGAAATCCTGCTCAGTTTCATTTTATTTCATCTTGTCTGTGCATGAAGAGCCCAAGCAAACCCAAACACTGATGTGTCATTGATTGGTAAGGAAACTCTTAAACATTAAATGTCAAATTCTACCTGGCTGATAATTTCTGTTTAATGGCAAAACAAATCTGAGATAGGGAAAGGTCCTGGAGGCAGAGCTTATCCATGAAAATCTGACAAAGCTTCCCTTCATCCATGCTGGAGCCAATCTGCATTAGACACGATCCTGCAGTCACCTAAGAGCCAGCTCCCCAAAGAAGAATAAACACAGGGCAAAGCCTGGCACTAAAAATGTGCCAGACCTGGAGTTTCAAGGCAGCTTGGAGGAATCCTGAAATCCTGCCTGACTTCTGAGTCTGGGAACCACCTGCAAGGGGAAGGATGGCCCTGACCAGAGGGACCTTGAGCACCTCAGGCTGTTTTAACCCTGCAGAGTCAGGAATTTGGAAGAGAAGTTCATAAAGGTTGGCAGCAGCTGCCTGAGATGTGGTGGTGCTGCTCACACAGCCCTGGAGCTGCCTTTGGATGCAAGCAGAGCATCCTGGCATGGATTTGGGTTTTCTGGCCACAGCTAAGGGTGATAACTGGCAGCAAATAATTCATGGTAACCAGTGTTGGTGAATTGAGCAGAAATAATGATAAATAAAATTGTTCCTGGGCTCTCCAGGGGAAATGCAGAAGCAGAATTGGGTTTGCAAAGAGGCTCCTTGACAGCCCCAGGTTTTCAGGAAAGCTTTGGTTGCTCCCAGGCAGCCAGGCTGCTCTGAGCCCTGTGGGATGCAAGCAGCAATGCAAATAACAGATTATCATTTTTTAAACATTAAGATCATTTAACTACTTAACAGCACTTGACTACTGAATTTTAGATCCCTGTTGGAAAAATGATCCTTTCCACTTTCTTTGCCCCCTGAAATGGGAATAACTGAGCAAGGCTCTCCTGGCTCCCCACGAGGCACCAGGGGAGCAGCAGCTCTGTATGAACAGACAGCACTTGGTGAGCTGCCACCAACTCTGGCATCTCTTCCTAAGGCATTATTTTTGGAAAGCTGATTTTTCTCACTCACTGGCCCTCCCTCCCAGGCTGCAGCTCCATTTCTCAGCAGACACAAGCATTGACTTTGTTCCCCTTCACCCATCCCCATGGCCAGGATTTCTGCCTGAGGTTGTAGTAGATTTTATCAGTGTCTTAAATGCTTTCTAGCTCGAGCTCTGTGGCTCACAGAGAACGAGTTCCCCGTTGGAAATTGCTGTAGATCTCTTTCAATCCTCGTTTTTTTTTTTTCTTTTTTTTTTTTGCACTAAGCAATTGTGCTGCTGCAATTCAAGCAACTGTCACGACTTTTCCTCACAACATGCTTTCCAACACCACTCCAAAGATCTGACCAGGACTAACAGCAGCAGCAACAACAAAATTCCCCTCTCCCTTCGGTGTGAAAAGCATGACTAAGCCTAGATGATCTTAAGATTCCTTTAGTTGCAAAGGAAATTGAATTTCTTGTCAAGGAAACATGCTCAGGGTAAATAGACTTAGGCTATCGGGCAGGTAGGAGTAGCTCCAACACTCTTCTGGAATAATAGGAAACTGAAAATGTGCAGATATATATTTTTTAAAACATAAAATAGACAGTAAGTGACAGCGGACTCACTGTAAAATCTCCCAGGTGTGGTTATTCTTTACCTTGTGTCTTCTATTGTAAAATGAACTTGGACAGTTACAACTTTGTGTGGAAAAATAAAAAAAAAAAAGAAAAAAGGCAAAAAACCTAACTCAACCTGTGTGAAACTGCATAATGCTATAAGCTAACCTACATTCTGTAATGCTACCTTGTATGTTGAATTTGTTAACGCACATTGAGCGTGCAAATAAAAATTAAATCACTTTAATTTTGCTGCCTTTGCCGTCTGTGACCGTGGGCAACAACCAACACGACTGAACACTGAGGATTTGCTTCTATAAATATGCATTTCTGCTGAAAATGTGCATTTAATTCACAGGAAAAGCACACACAGAATAAATCTCAGTGGAGTAAAGAAACACACCAGAATCCTGGCACAATTAAGTATTAAATTAAGGCAGGTCTGGAGGAGAGAAGGATTCAGGGTGACCTGACTGTGGTCATCCAGCACCTGAAGGAGCCAACAAGGAAAATGGAAAAAGAGATTTTATTTAGAGAGGCCTGGAGTGACAGGACAAGGAGGAATGGCTTCAAATTCAAAGAGGAGCTTTAGTTTGGATTTTGGGAAGAAATTCCTCCCTGGGAGGGTGGGGAGGCCCTGGCACAGGAGCCCAGAGCAGCCCCTGGATCCCTGGCAGTGTCCCAGGCCAGGCTGGATGGGGTTTGGGGCAGCCTGGGATGGTGGAGGTGTCCCTGCCATGGCAGGGGTGGCACTGGATGAGCTTTAAGGTCCCTCCCAACCCCAACCATTCCATGATAACACTTTTTACTTAACCCTTAGCCCATCCCAAAACGTCAGTAACCCCCACAGCATTATAATTTGGTTTCATTTGGTTTCATTTGGCACGAACAAATATCATTAAGTTGAATCTAAGTGGGAAGAAAGGACATTACGTGGGCAGAAAAAGAAGCAATTTGATGCCAGGGTTTGTAATTCAGCAGCGTTCCTGGAGCCCTGGTGAAAGCTGAATTCTCCAGGAATGTTTTTGTCCATCCTGCCCCGTGCAGTCCCCCCTCAAGGGCAGGGATTTGGCTTCTGGGGTTTGTTTTTCTGCAGCTGCCCATCAACACCACCCAGAACAACACTGCTGGGCACAGAGCCACGGCTTCAGAAAACGCCAAACAGCCCCGGGCTGGGTTTCCCCAGCAACAGATTCCAGCCTTGCCTCGGCTCCCTGCTCTCCTGGGGAGCTCCTGAGCAGCAAAGAACTCGCAGAGCTGCTGCAGGTGCCTCAGAAGGAGCTGCAGGTGTCTCAGAAGGAGCTGCAGGTGCCTCAGAAGGAGCTGCAGGTGCCTCAGAAGGAGCTGCAGGTGTCTCAGAAGGAGCTGCAGGTGTCTCAGAAGGAGCTGCAGGTCTCACCTGTGAGGAGCCAGGAGCTTTCAGCCCAGGATTTACAGAGGGAGGTGATGACCCTGGAAAAGGAATGTGGCCAGTTCAACATTCCTTGGTGCTGAGCATCACAGAACGATGGTTTGGGGTTGGAAAGGACCTTAAAAATCATCCAGTCCCACTCCCTGCCCTGGACAGGGACATCTCCCACCAGCCCAGGTTGCTCCAAACCCCATCCAAGCTGGCCTTGGGCACTTGGGGCAGCACCAGCTGCTCTGGGATGTCACAATGTCCCCTGCCCTGGAGCACCTCGTGTGCCTCCTCCAACACCACCAGAGTTAACACCAAAATCTGACTCTGGCACGAAAGCAAAACCAATCCAAGTGCAGCAGGGACTGTCCCAGTCACACGGGGGATGGAGGGACTGGAACACACAAATTTATTGAGCTTGGCCAGAGTCCTGCTCTGGAGATTTCATTCCAAAGTTTCCCTCAGCAGTGACAGCCAGAGAAGGTGCTGGAGACACAAAATTACCAGAAACCAGAAAGTAATGAATGACCCCCTGGACTCAGGGTTGAGATCATCAGGGTGACCTAAATGCAGCCTTCCAGGACCTGAAGGAACCCATAAAAAAAGATGGAGAGAGATTATTTGCAAGGGCCTGGAGTGACAGGACAAAGGGGAATTGCAGAGAGCAGGGTTGGATGGGATATTGGGAAGGAATTCTCGGCTGTGAGGGTGGGCAGGGCTGGCACAGGTGCCCAGAGCAGCCCCTGGATCCCTGGCAGTGCCCAAGGCCAGGCTGGATGGGGTTTGGAGCAGCTGGGACAGGGGGAGGTGTCCCTGCCATGGCAGGGGTGGCTCTGGGTGGGATTTAAGGCCCCTTCCCACCCAAACCATTCTGGGATTCTGTGACTTGTGCTGGCATTCCAATGTGATGCCCAATGAAACACAGAGCTTTATTTAACACCGATATTTCCCCTTCATTTCCACACTCTCTGCACCGTGACTGATCAGGGTGCTCCATCCCTTTCAGTGATTTATCAGGGCAATAACCAGACTTTTTGAGCAGTTGGCTGAAACTATTCAGCCAAAGTGCACAGTCACCGATTATCTTCTACTTCTTGTGCAAAATGTGGAAGGGAATCTCTCTTCATCCTTCTCTGCTTGACTCCTGCCTCCAGCACTAGGGGCCTCTAAAAACCCGCGGGTTTCAGGTTCTTACCCCATTCAGCCCAACAGAAACAAAAGGATTTGCATCACAAAAGGAAAAAAAAAGCGCCAACAGAATGGGTTCGACAAGCCATGAAAAGAGAAATGGTTTTGTGGAGAGCATGGAAGCTCAGCCCCGACTCCCTTCCCACCTTCCCTGGCCGTGCCACTGAACCCAGCGGCGTTTTTGGCACAATTGGGGCTCTGCTCCTGCAGCTCAGCTCCTGCCTTATCTCATTCCCCGCAGGAGCCGCTGGCGTTGCCGGGGCGATGGGAGATGGGAATCACGGCCGGTTCCTTGGAGCAGGAGGCTCCGAAAGCTCCGCGTCCTCCGGGAGCCCCCAAAGGCGCTGCCCCGCGGGTGCCTCGCTCCCCTCATTGAGATGCGACAGCGGCATCCGAGCGAGGGGCCCCGAGGAGGCTCCGCTATTGTGGGGAATTGGAAAAAATCCAAAAAGGAAAACTAAGAAAGACCCTCCAGAGCCTGCAGGGAGGGAATCCTGTGAGGAGCAGCTCGGGGAGCCTGGAGAAAAGGAGGCTCAGGGGGGATCTTGTGGCTCTGCACAATTCCCTGACAGGAGGGGACAGCCGGGGGGATTTGGGAACAGGGACAGGAGGAGAAGGAGAGATTTAGGTTGGATATCAGGAATAATTTCTTCCTGGAAAGGGTGGTCAGGGAGGTTTGGAGTGCCCATCCCTGGGGGTGGCACTCAGAGGTGGGGATGGGGCACGGGATGCTCTGGGAGGGCTTTTCCAAGCCCAGTCATTCCACGATTCCGCAGAGAGGCAGCAGCTGAAGCTGCTGTGCTCAACAGAGCCGGGGTCACAGACACAGCCTGACCCCAGGGACAGAATTTATTGGCCCAATATAAGAGGACAGGAAAGGAAAAACAGACCAGGAGAGAAGTAAAACATCGGCAACAGAAAATGCCAAAAAAAAAAAAAATCCTCAAAACAACTCAACACAAACCCCCAAATCCTGAAAAACCCCAAAAAACTCAATTCCTGCAGCTTCTCCCCAGCACCAACACAAAGCCTGGATTTCAGCTGCTCCCGGGGACTCACCCCAGCAGGACCCAGCAGCCACGTGGGGACATCCCTTTGTCACCAAAGGAGAGCAGCCAGCCCTTGGGAAAAAAACATTTGAGTGTTCCCAAAATAACCCAGAGCACGGAGCCCCGGGAGGCTCCGAGCAGGTTTGGGCTGGCAAGGGGAAGGTGTGACCTTCCAAAGGTCCAAATATTCTCAGCACAAATTGATTTCAGCTGGGACAGGGCAAGGCTGAGAGGCCTGGAAAGAAATAAAACCCAAGCAAAACTTGGGGAATACTTACTGTATGGAATTCGGTTTTTTTTTTTTTTTTTTTTTACAAAAATATAAGGAATGCAACTTTTCACAGGCAGCTCCTCACCTTGGTGTTTGTGCCTGAGAGAATGTGAATATAGAGAGACAAAAATCCAGAATTCAGCTCCCTGGTAAAGAAGGGAACAAAGCAGCAGCTCAGAAAATCCAAATGCACCAAGTGTGTCCCAAAAGGATGCAGCTCCAAATTCCAAATTGCAAAGCTGAGATCCATGCATTAAAAAAAAAAATCTCCTCCCAATGCCCAGGGATGTGTCAGCCCCACCTGGGATGGCTGCTCAGGTGTCACAGCACAGAGACTGAGCTGATACTTTCAATTTTTTGTTTTTTTTTTTCTTACATAACAAAGGAATATCAGAGCTGGTGGGAGAGAAAAGTCTGAATAGGAAAGAGCCCTTCCACAAGAGAGGGGGAAAATTCCACTGATTGCTCCAGGCAGGATCAGTGTCTTGGCCACACCAATCTACAGATTTTTTTATTTTTTTTTAAATAATTTCTGATTTTTTTTTCAGAGAAAACCTCTATTTCCAAATAACTCGAACATTGTGCCCACATGAGGACTCCAGAGAAGAATTATTTCTTTTTTTTTTTAATGCTGCCTGCACTTGAATAACTGCAGGAGAATACAGGAGAGGAAAAAAAAAAAAAAAAAAAGAAAAACGACCCAATATAAAACCAAAAGGCCAAGAGGATAAAAAGATGAAAACAATCTTTGAGATGTCCTGGCAATTTTGGCTTTTCTGCTTCATGCACACTCTGAGCTTTAGCTCAGCTCAATTCTTTCCTTTTTATCCTTTCTCAGTCATCCCAACGGGATCTTTCTTTATTTCTAGGGTTTATTCTATAGAATCATAATTCTGTGATTTCTAGAAGCTCTAGGGTTTATTCTCCTGAATTTTCTGTATTTACAGGGCTATTTCCAGGGTTTATTCTATAGAATCATAAGAAGTTGGAAAAGGCTCAGGAGTGATGAACTGTGACCTTCCAGGACCTGCAGGAGCTGATAAAAAAAAACCAAAAAAAAAAACCCCTGGAGATCCCTCCTTGGAAAATCACCACACAGAGAAAAGCAACACAGCTGGAAAAATGTTCATATTTCAACAATTTAGCACCAAACTCACAGAATTTTGAGGTTTTGCATCATTTAAATGCCATGAAGCAACCATTTCCCAAATTTCCAAGCACACAAGGAATTTTCCACCTTCAGCACTCTCTGAACAACCCCACCACAGACTGACACATGCAATGCAAAGGTTTGTATTCCAAATTAGATATATTGTGTCAAATAAAACAATCGTTCTGTGTACAAATTTATACATGGCAAAAAATAAAACTCTTCGAATAACACTGTGTAAAAAAAAAAAAAAAATAAAAAAAAAAAATAAAAATAAAAAGTGCTGGATGCTGTTCTGCTCTACAAATTCTAGAAGCAACAGGTTCACCAAAGGTGTTAGTGAACACCTAAACTGCACTGCAGGAGTCAGGTAAGGCACAGAATTCAGATTTTAGGGCACAGAATTCAGATTTTAGGGCACAGAATTCAGATTTTAGGGCACAGAATTCAGATTTTAGGGCACAGAATTCAGATTTTTAGGGTGGGAATTGGCCTGTACAGCACTCAGCACCTCTGCCAGGCTCCCCCAGCCTTGCTGATGGAGATTTTAAGGAGAAGCACTGGGAAAATGCATCATCACTGTCAGGCCCTGGCTCTGAAACACTGACAGACCCAAAAAATGCTTCATTGCCACCTCCCAGCTCCTTCCTCCTCCTCCTCCTCTTCCTCCAGGTTTTGGCCAGGTGGAGTTTTTATCTGAGTTTTTAATCCCAACAATGAGAACATCAGTGATGGCTGAAGGAACACACACAGGAATGTGTAAGAGTCTGAAATTCTGAATAATCTGAATTCTCCTCAGCCTTTTCCAAACCATTTTTGGATTTTGTGATTGCTGCCAGAGCAGCTCTGGGAGGAGATGAGAAATGGAAACAATTTCAATGTTCAGCTCATCACAAAGCAAATGTTAAATGCAGCCCCTGCCACAATTCTCATTTTTTTTAATCTTCCACAAAGAAAATATTCTTCAAACCAACAGGCACGGGATTTCCAGTCCTATTTTGGGTAATGAGGAGGTTTTTTACACACACACATATATATATATTTATATATTTTTATCCTCCCTTTACCAATCCTTTTACACGTGGATTTTCAGTTTGGATGGCCCAGATCTGATCAGGACATCAATTAATTGATCACTGAAGTGCAATCAGCTCCTTCACTCTCACTCTCAAGGATTCCAGGCACTTGGTTCAGAGGAATTCTTTAACCACCCAGCTCTGATCTGCCCTATTGTCAAACACCAAAATCCAGGGGGGAGCACCAGGCACCTGATCCCAAAACTGCTGTAAAATCGATCAGCTCGAGGGCACAGAGTCACAATTTTTTGCCTCACAAGCCAATTGTTCTTTATGAGCATCAGGAACTGGCCCAGCCCTGCCTGGAGCACCTGCACAGGTGAGGTCAGGGGGGGAGGAGCTGCTGGGCCTGTGCTCCCCCTGCACTGGGAATGTCAGACCCTCACATCAACCATTTCCTCTGCAAAACAGCTCCACAGAAAGCTGGGAACGACATCCCAGACTCCCACTCCCCGAAGTCACCTCCTTTAGGATGACACAAAAGTGTCACTGAAGGAGCCAGTGCCAGGATTTGGACAAGCCAGCAAGCTCCGAGCTGTGGTTTCTCCAGCACTCCTCACTCCACGTGCTGTGGCTGCACCTTCAGCGCTGTTTGCAGCAGGAAAACTCCCAAAGCTCCTGCCCTGCTGCCACAGCAACCACGGCTTTGCCTCTGTGACAAAGGGTGATGGAATTTGGAAGGGCTGGAGTCGCTGCCCCTGGGGGTGTGTAAAGGACTGGACTGGCACTGAATGCTCTGGTCAGGGTGGTGCTCGAGGATTCCAGAGCTCTTTGCAATTTAAATGATTCTGTGATTCTGGCTTGTTTGTACCCCACCTACAGCACTGCTGCTCAACTGATCGCTTGGATGAACTTGCACACGAGTATTCCACGTCAATTTTCCTGGAAAGAAATCTATTCCACGAGGGCACAAGAAGTCCAGCTCTGCCTGGTGACCTCCTGCTCAGCCTCTCACACTGGGTTGTCGTCCTGGAGAGCAGCAAAATCCTCTTGTGCAAATAATTGGGAAAACCACGGGCTCAGAGAGGCTGAACTCCAGCAATGCTTTGCACAGTTCAGCTTCCAGGCTGCTGACACCAAGGACAAACACTCCAAAGTGCAGGGCCATGAACCAACACGTGCCGAGTCCAGTAAAAAAATGACAACAAAGTACAACTGTCACTGGGCCTCAAGTTCAACACCCAGAATCAAGGCAACACGGCTCTAAACAAAAACAACTGGCAGAGTTACACATTCCCTCTCCAAGTCCCCTCAGGTGTCACATGCTGTCAGTGCTGGCACCGAGCTGCTCGGCTCACAAAGGCTCACAGCTTTTGTCCTGCTTTGCAGAGGGATTTTTCTGTTCAAGTGACCGAATCCTTCTTCCTCCTAAAGGGGGACTTGAGTCTTTTCCAGACGCTGCTTTTGGGTTTGGATTTCCTCTCCAGGGCCATCACGGCCTCCTTCTCCTTCCTGCGGATCTCCCGCACCAGCGCATGGAACACGTCATCGATGTAGTAGCGGAACGCGGCCGACGTCTCGAAGAAGGGGCAGTTGAATTCCCGTGCCAAGGCAGAGCCTTCCTCCTTGGACACCTGGAGGGCGAGTGCACAACACAGGCTGCTCAGCGAGGCCAAACCTTGCAGTTCATGCCTTTGCCTTTCCCTGCTTTGCTCGCTGTCCCTCCAGATCGTTTCCACCCAGCTCCAAAGGTTTCTCTGCTCTGCTTTCACTCATCGCTTCTCTGGACACTCACAAAATACAAACTTCAAAGAATATTCCTTTTTCTGACCTAAACCTACAAGCAATCCTCAGCCCTGCTAGTTTGGTGAGTTAAAGAAGCTTCTTGTCAAAGCTGCTGTGTTTGTCTCACTACTTCCCAAACCCAGAAAAAAAAAACCTTTCTAAAGCTTTGCTGCTCCAAGCCCCATCCAACCTGGCCTTGAACGCTCCAGGGATGGGGCAGACACAAAATTCTATGGGCAACCTGTGCCAGGGCCTCACCACTCTCACAGGGAGGAATTTCTTCCCAGGATCCCATCTAACCCTGTGCTGGGCCCCAGGGCTAGAGAAGCTCTGCAGGTGAGGTCTCACCTGAGAGGGGCAGAGAGGCAGAATCCCTCTGCTCCTGCTGCCCGTGCTAGGGATCAACCCAGGGCTCTGGGTGCCAGAGCACATCCAGCCTCACACCTACCAGCAAATCAGGAATTTGAAACAAAGCAAAGCCCAGGACAGCTGAACTTGAACACTTTTGCTTTTGTGTTACAGGCAGCTGCTTCTCACCACTGGTGTGAAACTTTCATCAGGGAGACAATACAACAAAACACAAACACAGGGACAAAACACAAAGAAAGGGACAAACCCCTCGTGTCTCACTGCATTTTGCAGCTTCTGGCAGAGGCTCCCCATGGCCTTTACCTGGCAAATCTGGGTGAGGTCAGACTTGGAGACAATACAACAGAAAACAAAGGGACAAAACACAAAGAAAGGGACAAAACACAAAGGGACAAACCCCTCCTGTCTCACTGCATTTTGCAGCTCCTGGCAGAGCTCCCTGGTGCCTTTACCTGGCACAGCTGGGTGAGGTCGGACTTGTTGAAGACAACAGAACATACAAAAGAACAGAAAGGAAGGAATAAAACAAAGACAGGGACAAACCCCTCTTGTGTCACTGCATTTTGCAGCTCCTGGCAGAGCTCCCCGGTGCCTTTACCTGGAACAGGTGGGTGAGGTCGGACTTGAGACAACAGAACAAAACACAAAGGGACGAAACACAAAGGAAGGGACAACACACAAAGGCAGGGACAAACCCCTCGTGTCTCAGTGCATTCTGCAGCTCCTGGCAGGGCCTTTACCTGGCGCAGCTGGGTGAGGTCGGACTTGTTGCCCACCAGCACCACGGGGGTGTCGTCGGTGCGGCGCACGCGGTAAATGAGCTGCTTGAACTCGCGCACCTCGTGGAAGCTGCGCCGGTCCGTGATGGAGTAGCAGATGATGAAACCCTCGCCAGCCCTCATGTACTGATCCCTCATGGCTGTGAACTCTGCCTAGAGACACACACACAGCGGTTTCAGTTGCACAAATGTAACGACTTGCTGGTTTTCTCACCCTGAATCTGGCTGTGTGAATATTCACACCTCACAAGGCAGGAGTTGTGTTTGGGATGGTCCCCAAGGCTCCCCTGACACACCAACCCCACTGCCAGGAGATTTCCCAGCCCACTGGGAGCTGCTGGTTCACCAGAGCCACAGCTTGACTCGGGCACCACCAGCAACACGATGCTCATGGGAAGAGAGAGAGCTCCAACCACCCCAGGGTTTTTTTTTTTGTTTGTTTTGTTTTGTTTTTAATAAACCAGAGCCATTCTTTCTGCAGGATTTCAGTCCCTACACCTGCTCATTACAGGCTGCTTCACATGCTCTCAATTCACTGATGATTACTCACATACCTGTCCTGCTGTATCCAAAATATCCAGGTTGGCAGGCTCATCATCGATGCGGATCCGGATTTTATAGGCGTCCTCTGTGCATCCCCAGGACATCACAAAGGTTGGGATACAAACACAACACTCATCAGCCATCAGCTCACTAAGAGAATATTGCACCAGAACCACCCACCCTGAAAGGAGCGCTGGGATACCTCAGCTTGAGCTTTATTTAAATTAAATTAAGTTAAATTTCTAATTGTTCTGGTGTGATTTAACATTTCACGTGCAAAAATCACATCCTGTTCCTGAGCCCACAGGCCAGAAATTCATTCTGGTCACCTTGGTGGAAAACCAAGGAATAACATTTGTTTCCATCCTTGCTGGAAAACAGAGGAATAACATTTTGCTTTTCTCAAAGCCAGAAAAGATCTGTGATTCAAGGGAAGAACTGGCCACCAACAACTGCTGATTTCTTAGAAAACACTATAATACATATCAATAAAATGTATGAAACGTTATATATATAAATGTTATATATGATCTATGTAAATATAATTTTTATAAACACCATATTAAAACAATGTGTCTATAAATATATAAATACACAAATATTCTGTCCCTCTCAGTCAGCACTCCCACATTTTAAGAACCCATTCTCAGCAAGAATTAGGCTTTTTTCCCCCCTTTTTCCTGCCACTGGGTAACTGTTGGTTCAGGTTTCTCCAGGAGATGCTGCTCAAGTCCTACAGCACCACAGAGAGTTGTTGAGCACTTTCATCCCTCTCAACTTGTCAAACACAGAGAACAATTTGGCCTGACAACTGAACAGCAAAGAGCTGATCACAGCACAGAGCCTGGATTTTATGAATAGACAATTAAAAATGGCTTAGCAGCAGTTCCAATCCCTGTCTGCCAACACACAGAGACAGAGCATGGCCTGAACACATGGATGGGAAAATGTTTGAGGAGCTGAAACTCGGGATTCACATCCCACTCTGAGAACTCCCAAATCACAGAAACACAGAGAGGCTCAGGCTGGAAGGGACCATCACCTGCAGGGCCGTTGCAGGGCACAGGGTTGTGGCCAGCTGGGTGTGGGATATCCCCAGGGACGAGGCTCCACAGCCTCTCTGGGCTCTGCCCAGGGCACGAGTTGTGCCTCCTGTGCAGGGACAATTGCTGGGCTCAGTCCCTGCCCGTGGCTCTGGGGCCATTGCTGGGCCTGGAGCAGAGCCTGGGCCCTGCTCTGCCCCTCGCTGCACTCAGGGACAGCCAGGCCTGAGGGAGCTGGGGCTCCTCTCCAGCCTTTCCTGGCCAGGGATCTCTCCAGGCCCTTCAGCATCTTTGGCACCCTCTGGGAGCTGCTGTCCCTGCTGAGCTGAGGATCCCAGAGCTGGCACAGCACTGCAGAGCTGCCTCCCAGGGCTGGCCACAGGGCCAGCATCACTCCCTGCCCTGCTGGGAATGCTCGTCCTCACCCACCCCAGGGCCCCCCTGGCCCTCGGGGACAGCTTGGTGACACCCTCACATCCTCCCCTGCACGTCACCCCCAGCCTGTGCTGCTGCCTGGGCTTGTTCCTCCCTGGCCTTGCCTTAAAACATTGGCCCAAGCTTTAGCAGGGTGGAGATGGAGAAGGAATTCTGATACTTCATGGAATGTCTGAGCTGGAAGGGACCCACCAGGATCCTGAGTCCAACCCCAGGCCCTGCACAGACACCCCAAGAACCCCACCCTGAGCATCCCTGGCACTGCTGTCCAAAGGCTCCTGGAGCAGAGGGGCAGGAGCAGTCCCTGCCCTGCTGGGAACGCTCATCCTGATGAGCGATCAAAGATCAACCTACAGCCAGATTTACAGATATCTTTGAATTGAATACTTTAAAGCAATGCGTTATAACAGCTTCACCGGCCAAGGGAGTGAACGAACAGAAAAGAGATTTTCCTCACCAATGGTGGGATCGTGGTCCTCTGGGAACCGATGGCTGATGAACTGCATGGTCATGGCTGGAAGCAGAAATCAGGGAACAAGTGAGCAGCTCAGCTCAGCTCACACCCTTCCCCACGGCCAGGGCACAAAACAGGTCAGGGAATGGGGCTTTGGCCACAGGGATTGGGGCTTTGGCCACAGGGATTGGGGCTTTGGCCACAGGGATTGGGGCTTTGGCCACAGGGAATGGGGCTTGGACAGGGAATGGGGCTTGGACAGGGAATGGGGCTTGGTCGGGGAACGGGGCTTTAGTCACAGGGAACGGGGCTGCCCTCAGCCGATCGGGCCGAGGCCCCGCGCTGCCACCGCCGCTCCCCCGGCCCGGCCCGGTGTCCCCAGCCCCGCTCTCACCGCTCTTGCCGACGCCTCCCGCTCCCAGCATCACCAGTTTGTACTCCCGGGACTGCCCCGCGGCGCCGCCGCCGCCCGGGCGGGCTCCGGGCTCCATCGCCGCTGTCCCGGCCCCGCTCCCAGCGACACCGAAATGGCGGCGGCTCCTCCGGCCCGGCCCGCCCCGGCCTGAGAGCGCGGAGGGCGGGGCCCGACGGCGGCTCGGTGGGGACACAACACAGCGGGACACGGCGGG